TTGACAGCTGTGGTTAAGAATGCATCATCTTTTGTCCTGAAGGTCAGCCTCCTGATGGGCATGGACTCTGTCACCTGGGGCTTTAGCACCATTCAGAACAGGTTCTAGAGGAAAAGTAAGCAACTTTCCTTACTAGGTGACCTTCCAGTTATAGAACCCTAGGCCACTGGTTCTCTACTCGGTGCAACTTTGCCTCCAAGGGCAATTGACAGTGTCTAGTGACATTTTTGGGGTTGTTATTGCTGGGGAGGTGGATGCTGCTGACTTCTGTGGGGACAGAACAGCCCCCCACAACAAGGAACAATCAGGATCAATATGTCAACAGTGCTGAGACGGAAAATCCTGCCCTAGTCATTTTCTCTTTTCAGGAGGAAAAACAAGGACAGCATAGGAAAGGAAGCGAAGAGAACTGACTTTAATGATCATCCAGGCTTCTGGCTCTCTGTTAGATACTTCATAGACTATACCATGTAGTATTCAGTCTTCACAATGAAACTTGATATGGGTATTTTCATCCTCATTGTACAGATGACAAACTGAGACTCAGAGAGGTTAAGTAACTTGCCCGAAGTCATCTAGTTAGTACCTTTAAATACAAATCTGCCTTATTTCAAGTCCACACTTTCTCTACTAGACTTCTTGAGCCCTGTAAGTCATAAGATGTTGCTAACTTCCTCAAGAAGTGTATTGGATGAGAAAGAATATCTTCAGGAAGGATATAATGGATCTTTTGCATTTTAACACCTTCTTAATTTAGAATCTAAAAATTCAAAATTCGACCAGGCTGAGGTTGAAGTATCCTTTTGCATCACTTATGAAGAAAAGATCTGCACTCTGTAAACAAACTGTAGGTTGGGCACAGAGAACTCTTTAAGAGGGGTGAGCTTTCTAAGGCCATGATTATTAGTTTAAACATTGCAGGATTCCACACGGCAGCCACATCGCCACATCATTGTTCCTTATTAGTGAGATGTGGAAAGTAATAATGTCCCTAGCATTCTGTATTCTGGAAGAGATAACCTGCTGGTCTTTGTCATCCATTAACACCTTCCACACACATTCACAGAGCACTTGCATTGTGGCTGCTGCTGTCTCAGGGGACACTGGATAAGACACACCAGCCTGACAAAAGGTTTATTGTCTATTTAAGGATAGACCTACAAGGAAATGTTTCCATACCCTGTTTGAAGTGCTACAGGTCAGATAAAGTGACAGGAGATTATAGGGGAGACAGTAAGAATCCTGGTTGAACAGAGATTCTTATTGTCCCTGGGGAATAAAGCTTGATCTGGGTTTTGAAGGATGAATAGAAGTCTTTAGAGAGGCTTGTGGCTAGAGAGTGTATAATTTTCAGAGGACAGTGACAGAGAGGCTTGTGGCTAGAGAGCATGGAATTTTCAGAGGACAGTGATAGATAAATATGTGAGCCCCTACTGTGTGCCAGGCATTGGAAACAGTGAGGATTACAGAGACAAATGACTAAGATAATATCAGAGCAAAACGAGTGCCATACAGAACAGGACAGGGTCATGTGACAGGAAAGTGAGGACTGGAAGAGGGTGACATTTGAACAAAGACATAAGTGGCTAGGTTGAGCCAGTTATATGACCTGAGCATTCCAGGCCTGGGTGATTCTCCTCTCCCACTCCAGACTGCAGTCCCAGCATTGCAGGCAGTGAAGCCCACCACTTTCATGGCTGAGGCACCTGGGCCAAGGTACCCAGGACACAGGGAAGGCTATAGAGAAGGGATAGGCCTCCTGATTCTTCATTTTCTATGCTGGTCATCTGGGGGAACCGTGGGTCTCCTCTGGAATTGAGGAACCCCTTGACAACTCACAGGAGTGCCTCCCTGAAGGTGGGACCTGCTGAGCATCCCAGACTAAGGCTGCCCTTCTCACTAAGGCAACTGTGTTAGTCCATTTTTATGCTGCTGATAAAGACATACCCGAGACTGGGTAATTTATAAAGAAAAAGAGGTTTAATGGACTCACAGTTCCATATGGCTGAGGAAGCCTCACAGTCATGGTAGAAGATGAAAGGCATGTCTTACATGGTGGCAGACAAGAGAGAGAGCTTGTGCAGGAGAACTCCTTTTTATAAAACCATTGGATCTTGTGGGACTTATTCACTATCCCAAGAGCAGCATGGGAAAGACTCACTCCCCTGATTCAATTACCTCCCACTGGGTCTCTCCCGGGACACGTGGAATTGTGGGAGCTATGATTCAAAATGAGATTTGGTTGGGGACACAGCCAAACCATATCAGCAACAGTCAGAAGGTTCCACTAGTGGAGAAAGTGATGTGGCTCCAGGGTCACAGAAATTGCATCATCATTGTGAAAGCACAGACCCCACTCTGCACTAGACGAGGTACTTCCAAAAGGGCCAGGCTGGGAGTTCATGGGAAAGGGTCCTAGGCTGAGGAGGGAAGGAGGCTCTGTGCCTAGTTGTAGCTCTGTGCAAGATGAATAGTTGGGCTTTGTTGGGAGAAAGGACCCTTGGGGTCATTATGGCACTGCCTCCTATACCCAGGGTGGCCTTGTCATTGGTGGAGGCATCAAGTGGGTCAGGCTGATGAGAGCTGAGCAGAGAGAGGGCTCAGCCTCCGGAGCCCCCAAGGACCATCCAGTGAATGTGGAGAGGGCTGAGAGATGAGAAGGCTGGGGATTGGGCTGGAACTTTGTGAGGAGTCCTGAAACAGACCTTGGAGTCCCGACACAGACCTTGGAGTCCCCTACACATGGTCAGGAGGCAGCCAATGGTATTGGGTAGTGAATGGCACAGTCAGTTTGTACTGATCTGTACTTCAGAAGGGTTCTTTCTGGAAGCCGTTGAGAAAATATATGGATTGATGAGGGGCAGACAAGCTGTGATCCATCAGACAATGTCAGGGGTGATGAGGGTCAGGACCAAATGGTGCCCCAGGCTTCCCACAGGGGATGAGGAAGTAGATGGTGTTCCTGCCATCAGACAGGGAATATGGGGTCAGAAACAGGCCTGGGTAGGGGAAATATTGTGAGTTTGATTTTGAGGATGCTGAGGGCAGAAAGCCAGGCAGCTTCTGGAAATTCAAATCTGAGGTTCAGGAGGCCAGTGACGCAGTTGATGATATGGGAGATGATCGGTGAGCAGCCTGTTGATGATGCCCTGGATGTGGGAAGAGCCTGAGGAGGCAAAGGACAGCATCCCAGCAGAGCCTGACTTCCAATGGACAGATGAGAGGGAAAGAGTTCCATGGAGGTGACTAGAAAGGGGTGGCTCAGGAGGCTGAAGGAGAATCAGAGAGGACCACGGACTCCAATGAAAAATCATGGCACTTACCTGTGAGAAGAATTTGTTTCTTTTTCATGATGAAATTGGAGCTCAGCTTCTGACAGGTCATCCAGCTAGTGCATAGCAGAGCAGGTACAGGGGACATATTAGCAAACCCCGGTCAGGATGGATCCGCAAACCAAGCTGCTCAGTTTAGATTCATTGGGAAGGCTTACAAAAGTCACATTTGCAAGTTATTATTTTTTATATCTGATTAATATACATTTTTTTCCCATTGGAAATGCATTGAAAAAAATTTAGAAAACAGAGGAAAGAAAATAATATTAACCATAGTACCCTCCTTTTAATCCAGTCAGTATTAGCATTTGGTGTGAGTTTTGTGATCCTGTTGATCCTTTTTCTCATTTATATTTTTATTTTATTTTTAAATTTTATTTATTTATTTATTTAGAAAGAGGATCTCTCTCTCTCTCTCTCTCTCTGTCACCCAGGCTGGAGTGCAGTGGTGTGATCTTGGCTCACTGCCACCTCCACCTCCCAGGATCAAGCGATTCTCCTGCCTCAGCCTTTTGAGTAGCTGGGATTACAGGCACATGCCACTACTGCCTGGCTAATTTTTATATTTTTAGTAGAGATGGGATTTCATCATGTTGACCAGGCTGGTCTTGAACTCCTGACCTCAAATGATCCACCCACCTTGGCCTCCCAAAGTGTTGGGATTACAGATGTGAGCCACCATGCCCAGCTTTTATATTTTTGGTTTTAAAAGCCTAATATTATAACCAATTGTTCAGATTTGACACAATCTCCATACCCATTTTTTTTTTTTGAGACAGAGTCTCACTCTGTTGCCCAAGCTGGATTGCAGTGGTGCAATTTTGGCTCACTGCAACCTCCACCTCCTGGGTTCAAGTGATTCTCCTGCCTCAGCCTCCTGAGTAGCTGGGACTACAGGCACATGTCACCATGCCTGGCTAACTTTTTTGTATTTTTAAGTAGAGACAGGGTTTCACTATGTTGGCCAGGCTGGTCTTGAACTCCTAACCTCATGATCTGCCCTCCTCAGCCTCCTAAAGTGCTGGGATTACAGGCGTGAGCCACCACACCCGGTCCTATTCTTTTTAATGGTCACATAATAATCCATCAAGTGAGTGTACCACCGATTAATTTAAACATTCCTCTCATTTTGAATACTTAGGTTATTTCCTTTTTTTTGCCACTACTATTTTGTAAAATTATTATGCTATATTGAACATTTTCCTGAATTTGAGATTATTTCCTCATGAAAATTTCAGTCAATATTTTTATTGATCTTAACCCATATTGCCAAATTGCTGCATGAGGGAGCTGTACAAATAATTACCAAGCAAATGTGTGACTAGAGATGTTTATGTTTTAATTCCAGATTTCTTGTTTTCTTTTGAGATGGAGTTTCACTCTTATCCAGGCTGGAGTGCAATGGCTCAATCTCAGCTCACTGCAACCTCCGCCTCCCAGGTTCAAGTGATTCTCCTCCTGAGTAGCTGGGATTACAGGCATGCGTCAACATACCTGGATAATTTTTGTATTTTTAGTAGAGATGGGGGTTTCACCATGTTGGCCAGACTGGTCTGGAACTCCTAACCTCAAGTGATCTGCCCACCTTGGCCTCTCAAAGTGATGGGATTACAGGTGTGAGCCACTGTGCCAGGCCTAATACTTGATTTCTTTATTGCAATCACTCAGCTCCACGAAAGAGGCCCTTGGCTGTGACCAGCAAGAAAAGCACCAACTCCAGACTGCAACATGGCTCACAGTGTTAGCAACATGGCACATGGAAATTTTGACAAGCACAAGTGAGTCCTTTTAGCATAAACTTCACTGTTAGTTGGCAGAATTTGCAAAGGTGTGAGAGAGGTCCCCAGAAAGGACCTTGGTGGGATTGAGGAGTAGAGATGGGCAGGAGAAAGAAATCCTGACAATGTGGACCCAAAGAAAAGGCAACAGCAGGTGAAACAGGGAAGGAAATAAAGTGGGGAGAGCCCTATGCACTGCCTTTGCCTGTTCCAGAACTCTTCAGAGAACTGATCACTGGAGTCTATTCACACTGAATTCTTGAGGGACTAACTTATTGGATTGCTTGAGGATCCCACTGCATTCAACAGTTAAATTCTTCTTAATTTAATTTAATTTTTTTTTTGAGACGCCGTCTTGCTCTGTTGCCCAGGTTGCAGTGCAGTGGCGTGATCTTGGCTTACCGCAACCTCCACCCACTGCAACCTCTCCTCCCGGGTTCAAGGTATTCTCCTGTCTCAGTCTCCCAAGCATCTGGGATTACAGGTGCCTGCCACCATGTCTGGCTAATTTTTTTGGTATTTTTAGTAGAGATGGGGTTTCACCATGTTGGTCAGGCTGGTCTCAAACTCCTGATTCAACACTTTAATTCTAATGGAGCTCTCCAGTCCTCTACCAAGTGGCCTGGGGAGAGTGGGAACTGGCCAGCCATATCCTCAGCTCCCATGCTCGTGTTTGGGATACAAGGGATATTTACTGTATCCCACGTGAGGGCTTATTGCTAGCAATCATTCGGTTAAGGGCCACTCCCCTGTGTGCAAATTCTTCATTATTTGGCCCCCGAAAGTTCCTTCGAAAGATACTAGTCAAAGAAGAGAGTGAAGGTGATGGGAAGGAAGTGTTGGCTGTTTGCTTCAGACAGGATGTTATAGATCTGAATACCGAAGGGCCAGGGGAAAAAGGGGAAGGTGATCTTCTGGGTCCTTACAGCTTCCTTGAAAGAGCAAAGCTGATGTTAGAGATGGGAAAATGCTTTTTAAAGTCCATCTTGCCTTCTGTGTGTTTCTAAATTCTGAGAGGTTCAGGTAAGGACTCTGGATTCCCAGGGAGCAAAGGAATCAACACCGCACAATTGCAGCTTTTCAGGGAAGCCTTAAGACAACAAAGCACTCATTAATGAAAAAATATTTGGTGGCAGACACCTTTATTTTTGTTTAGTCTTTTGACAGGGTTGGAATGAGAAGAGTTATGCGATAGGGAGAGAAAGCCCTACCTTCATTTAACTTGCTGTACTCTATGAGTATAATTACCTATAAGTGTAATTACAGAGAAGACAAATGGCATTTTTAGCTGTGGTCTTAAAGAGGTGAGTTAATTTCCGACTTTGACCAGAACTATGTTAATTAGCCGTGGTGCAGTCTCTCTCTCTCTCTGTCTTTGAGTGGAAGTTCCTCACCCAGGACTGAACGTGGCCTGCTTCCTCTGTACCTTTGAGTAATGAAAGGACACCACATGCCAGCCGAATCAGGGCTGCTGTATTAATAAGGCTACTTTGCTGTCCATTTATCATCAATTAAAGGTGCGCTAGTTTGTAAAGTAACCCCACCTTCGGCCCGGCTACCCAGAATGGCTCCTCATTTATTTTCTGCGTGGTTTCAGTTGGAGTTAGACCCACCTTGCAGCTCAGAGGTGACAGGCGGCATGAAAAACTACACTAATTGAGACATCTCGAGGGAGAAATATAAGAAAACTGAAACGGTAATTAGAATGAGAGGATTTCAAGCTGGGTAAGGAAAATCGAATGGAGGTGCATATTAGGGGCTGTTACAAATGGGGAGGAAAGTACTTGGTGGGGGAGAGAGAAATGGATCTTAGAGTCGAGTGTACCCTTTTAACACTTCAGGGAGAGAGAGGACATGCAAGAAAATATTCAGGGTCAGGTGTGTGGACTTTTAGGAAGGGTGGCCTCGCATTCAGGCTGCAAGGCAAAGCTACCGCCTTTTCTCTGCAGAGTAGATGTCTCCCTTGTCACAGAAGAGCTCTGCTGATATTTGCATCCACAGTTATACTTTCCCTGTATTGTTTCCAGTCTAAATGTGCTCAGTTCCTTTCGCTGAGTTTCTGGGGGGTGGGGGACATGGTTTTAGCTCTTTCCTACCTTGGCCATCATCTTGGTGTAGCACCCAGCATGCGCCCTGGCATGTGATCTGACTGTCACACAAAGGAAATGTCTGTCACCTTTTTTGTCCTGGAACATGTACCTCTATAATGCATCTCAAGACCATTTTGGGGGCCGGGTGCGGTGGCTCACGCCTGTAATCCCAGTACTTTGGGAGGCCGAGGCGGGTGGATCATGAGGGCAAGAGATTGAGACCATCTGGCCAACATGGTGAAACCCAGTCTCTACTAAAAAAAATACAAAAAATTAGCTGGGCATGGTGGCGTGTGCCTGTAATCCCAGCTACTCAGAAGGCTGAGGCAGGAGAATTGCCTGAACCCAGGAGGCAGAGGTTGCGGTGAGCCGAGATCGCGCCATTGCACTCCAGTCTGGGTAACAAGAGGGAAACTCCGTCTCAAAAAAAAAAAAACAAAACCATTTTGATTTCTTCAGCAGCTACATCACACTAACCATCCGCGTCGATTTCTATTCACTGTTAATTCGGTCCTGTGATGTGCTGGGCACCAGGGATAGCACGGTGGGCAAGACAGATGTGGCCCTTACCTGCATGGAGTTCACAGTGTGGCGAGCAAGATCCACTTGGATGGAGGAATCATGGTATTAGGAAAGGTGAGGCCAGGTAGTGATGGGATTATATTAATACATAGGCCATGGGCTTGTATCTGGTTCTGTTGGTGGGAGAAGCCCCTGAAGAAGAAGCATTTAAGCTGAGCCCTACAGACTGCACAGGTGCTCGCCAGGTAAAGCAGGAGTGGGAAGGGGGCATGGTAGGTGGACCTAGAGACGGAACAGTGCATCCAAAACCCGCAGGTGAGGAAGGGTGTGGTGTGCCAGTGAATGGCTGGATGTCCTGGATAGGAGGGACTGGATGAGAGAGCAAGGCCAGAGGAGGTTAGGAGGAGGGCAGAGACTGGAGCAGGCCTGGTCTTTAGAGGGCCTGTGAATTGCGGCCAGGGTTCTGCCTGTCACTGTTGTCAAGCCCTTCGAAGTAGGAAATGGCCTGATGAGGTTTTCAGCTCACTTCAGACCCCAAGTCTTTTTCATGCATCCTCTTTGTAAGAAATCCCATTCCTTCTCCAACTCTTTTTCTAGGATTGAGCCCTGAGTGTTTATATTCAAGTGAAGAGCTGTATGTTTATCCACATTTTAGACTTCATTGTGTGCAATTATGACAATCTTTGTGGACACTCACATTTGGATTCTGATTCTATCCCCTGATATATTGATCTCTCTCCCAGCTCCACTCAGTTTTGCTAAGTCTTCTCAGGATCATTCCAGGTTGATATCCTCCTATCCAGGACATCCAGCCATTTACTGGCATACCACACCCTTCCTCACCTCTGGGGCATTTTGGAATTCCAGGTTGAGCTGGATAGAACCCTATGGCACTTCCCTACAAACTGTCTTCCTGGCTGCTGTAGAGCCATTCATGAGCTCACATGGGTTCCTGTTTCAACCTCCCTTGCCTTTACCTAACTGTAGCAACCTCAGCCCTCCTGTCTTCTTCTTGCCACCATTTGGGAGGCTACAGAGGAAACCAGGTCCACTGGCCGTGGGGCCATTCCAGAGCTTGGCTTGGCAGTGTGCTGTGTTGCCCCTGGAGATGGTGCCTTACCTCCACCGTAGAACTGCCTACATCTCCTCTGAGTCAGGCTGCCAAAATGGAGTACCATAGACTGGGTAGCTTACAAACAATGAACATTTATTTCCCCCAGTTCTGGAAGCTGGAAGTCTGAGACCAGGCATGGTCAGGTTCTGGGGAGGGCTCCCTGTCTTCCAGGTTGCAGATTGCTATCTTCTTGTTGTAGCCTTACATGATGGCAAAAGTGAGAGAGCTCTCTGGTGCCCCTTTTATAAGGGCACTAATCCCATCGTGATGGCTCTACTGTTAGGGTCTAATCCCCACTCAATGGCCCTACCTTCCGGTACTATTACTTTGGGGGTTAGGATTTCAGCATATGAATTTGAGGGTAGGTGCAAACATTCAGCTCATTGCAGGTCCCCTGCATAGTCCTTTTTTGAGGAGCTTAGGAGAAAGATGATTTCCCATAATTTCCTGTCTGACTCTTGGCTGAGAATGAAATAGGCCCAGATGACACCATGGTTGCTACCGTTAGGAACATGGAGGAAGCTTTTAGTGTGAATGCCTGTGAAACTTAATGAAACGTCCCCAAGAGGACTTGGCCTGAGTTTGGAAACCCTGGGTGTTTTGCTTTGTAAAACGCTGACTCAGTTGACAGATGGCCCAAATGCTTATTTTGGTCAACACCTGAAAGCAATTTGGGGCTTTCTTATTATTGCTCCAGAAAATAGACTAATTCCCACTCAACAAATGTGGAGCTGGCCAGTATGGGGCCCCCATGTGCTCATGCACTGGAGGCTGGTTCTGTTATCAACCATGCGTCCCTCTTGAGTTCCAGTCCCTGGTGGGGCTCCAGGTCTGTCCTGGTCCCATTCAGAACTCCAGCTTTCATTAGCCTGTCTGCTGTGTCCACTGAGCCTCTCTCAGTCTCCTGTGTTGTCACCTCTAGCGCAACTCTGGACTTGCTCTTGGGGCTCTGCCATGGCCATAGGAGAGCTTTTGGACAGACTGAGCCTGCCTCCTTCCCAGGAAGGACACAGCTCCCTTGGCAAGTACAGCAGGAGCATCTGCTCTTGTTAAGACGCCAGGCTCCACTCACCTTCCTTCACTGCCTCGTCATACTTTGTCCTGGTTGCATCAGAACCAGGGATCTTCCATCCTTTCATGTCTGGTTTAAGCCAGCTACAAATTTCTGGATTGCAACCACCAATTCGAATGCTTTACTGTTAATAACAATAGTATTGGCACAACTAAGTTCATGGATTACACAGAAATAGTTATCAAGGCAGCCTAATTGAGTGAAAATGGGTAATTGTATAAAGCCATGAAGACATGGCCTTCTGAAGGTTGAAAATTCAAAGCAAGCATCACTTGGATGGTGTGGTGTTGAATCAGCTAATTATAGGGATTTTGTATCCGTGTTTGATCATTCAGAAAAAGTTTCTCTACACACACACACACACACACACACACACACACACGTGCGTGCGCATGCGCAAAGCTCTATCAAACAAGTTTCTCTTTGAACTTAAAATTACTCTTGGGGGCAGGGAGGTTTCTGAATCACAAATGAAAATTTGAACATCAAAGAGATTTTCTCCCTTCTTCTAAGGGAAGAAGAGCCTTTTCTTTCCAACTATATAAGAGGAGAACAAATATATAGATTTGAAATTAAAATTTCACCAGGGCAGTAAAAGAGTAGAAAACACAAATTTCCTATGTGTGGGCAAGTTCAAATGTTGCTCTGATGAGATAAAATGTAACCTTAGGAAAGAGACATAAAGGGAGAGAGCACTCCTAGTTTTAAAGTCCAGGTCCAGGGCTACAGCACTATTTCTTTCTGAGCAGACCACACTCAAAGGCTAATGTATCATCAACTGTCTCATAAAGAGAAAGGGTAATGAATAGCCCCAAACCAATGAACTCTGAGCTTGCCTGAAAGTTTATCCTTTAGAGGAGGACTGATGAAAAGTGACTTTTAAGAATGGCAGCATTCTTTGATAAACAAAAATGTATTTAGTCTATGTAAAAGCATTTGGGTTTGAATGGATCATCAACTTCAAAAAGGATAGTAGCATTACAAATGGAGGAAATATGTCCACTTTATTAATTAGTAAAAACAATAACCGTGTTCTCAATGTGTATCTTTGAAATTTCATTTTGGCAATCATTTTTCACAGACCGTGCTGTACTTTTCTGTTTTGTTTTGTTCCTTAGTGTTTTGTGATTTAATGAATGCCAATAGCTAAAATAGAATAATCTGTAGCTTATAAAGTTCTCTCACACATTGTTTCGTTTGGATCTTATAACAATCTTGTAAGATAGTGAGATGTTAGCTCCCACATTGTCAAAGAAAAATGTAGTTAACTAAGAAAAACCTGCAGCTGACATCATGGTTAAGACGGGGACAAAGCTAGGTGTTTGTTCTCATCCCTCCTATTTAAGACAGGGAGGAATCATTAATAACTATGGACGGAGTTTCTGCAGAATGCCACGAACTGTGCTGCATGCTTTTTAGTATTATGTTTTGTTTAATTCTCCTTACAATGCCTCAGTGTAGGGACTTTTCCCCCTGTTTTACAGATGAGGAAACAGCAGTTCAGAGATATTGTGACTTTGTCCAGAGTTGTACTGTGACTCTAGATGATAGCTGGAGCATCCAAAAGAGAAATGCTGTTCAATGACTTGCACAAAGTGCTCTCTGCGTGTATTAGAAATTCAGATACCAACACAGCACTATTCACAATAGCAAATATATGGAACCAATCAGTGATGGATTGGATAAAGAAAAGGTGGTATATGTATACCATGGAATACTATATAGCCATTAAACGAATGATATTATGTCATTTGCAGCAACATGGTTGCAACTGGAGGGCATTAGGCTAAGTGAATTAACACGGGCACAGAAAACCAAATATGGCATGTTCTCACTAGTAAGTGGGAGCTAACCACTGGGTACACATGGACATAGAGATAGGAACAATAGACACAGGGTTTCTAAAAGGGGGAAAAAAGGGAGGCAGGGATTGAAAAACCAGCTGTTGGGTACTATGTTCAAGTTCACAATTCAGGTGATGATTCAGTAGAAGCCCAAACCTCAGCATCATTCAATATATCCATGTAACACACCTGCATCTGTGCCCTTTGAATCTGAAATAAAACAAATACATTAAAAACAAAACAAAACAAATTCAGATGCAGAGAGGACCATAACCAGCCTGTATCTGAAGGTGGTGGGGCCAGAATGTGATTCCAAGCATGCTGTGGTCTCCTTGCTTCCTTTCCACTTATCAGTTGTAGACCAGACTGTTAGTAGGTCTTTTAAGTTTTCAAAAATTTTGAATCCTGCATGCTAAAGAACTATTTGTTTTTTTAGAAACAAATCATGAAAATACAAGAAAAATAGAAAGAAGAAATAAAAGATAATTTCTTTCTTTTCCAGTGAAAAACAAATTCCACCTGGGAAGTTAAAAAAATCAGATGCAGCACTGCTACTTCAATGCCTTTTAAATCTCTAAGGTCACTTTAATCTATTGTCTGCTGTTTCTCATGAAAATATGTTGCCCATTAAGTTAAATAGACTGAGATAGTTTAGTCAAGTGAGGTTTCACATTTAGTAATTGATTTTCATTTTCTGAGGTTGTAAATTAAATTTACAGCACTGGCATAAAGTTGAGAGCAGAAGACTCCATCCAAAGTTGAATGAAAACAAAGGTACTGAAATATTGCAGGGCTGGGTGTGTTCCTGTGTGTTCCACCGTTTTATCATGAGCCGGGAAATCCCACGGGGATGTCCCCAGCCAGCCTAGCTTCACTCTCTGTTGACCTGGGTTGCTCTTTTTGCACCCACTCCAAGATGGCTGGAGGGAGAGTAGCGGGGAAAAAGAGAGAAGGTAGGGTGTGTGGGAAAGGTTTCTACCTGCTGCCAGCACCATTTCGATACGTTTCTCCCGGGGGCCACAAGGGAGTCACATGTGGAGGCAAGAGGAGTATCCTACCCAGAATGTTCAGGTAGAAATGTCTGTGTGTAAATAAGCTCAATGGTTAAAGATTTTCAACTATGTCAGGTCAAGGGAGCATACTATATTATTCACATATGTAATTCTAGTGGACTGGAAAGGCTTGTATTAGGAGAAAGTGAGTCTCTTGGATGTGCATGAAGAGATTTTGCAAATCCCAACACATTCTAGGAATTAATATTTCCCAGGATTTTTTGTTAAATGAACTGGCTACTTATTCTTTCATTTTATTATCTTTCTTTATTAGCAAACAGTGCATTACCATCTGTCAAATGCTTAAGAACATTTTCAAGAGACAAGCATTACATCTAAAAAATTATTAATGTTTTAGAGGTGGCAAAAAGAATCAGGCAGTAAAGCTGTTCACAGTCTCTTGTGTGTGTATATGTATATTTCCCTTTTTGCTTTCAATTTCTGGTTATATTATTATTATTGTATAATAAACTAACAGTCTAGCATAATAATTATAAAATGGTCATACAAAAAATACAGAGATCATTCTATTAGATAGAGGATGTCCTTCTACAATGATGAACATCTAGTTATTATTATTATGACAATCTCTGGAGATGATTGAACTGTTTCTTGTCCCTCTGATCCAGCCCATTAATGGTTGCTCACTCCAAAATGAAAGTATTCAGAAACATTTCAGTCTGTAAAATTAAGTGATCAAAAGATTTAAGGGTTTGTTCTTTTCACTTTTTCTTTAGATGTAGAATAATATGTTACAGGGTTTACTTGATATTTCATCAAATTTCTAAAAAGAATATTTTGATTTTAATAAGAAAACTGAAAGTTTCTATTTATCTATGAAATACATTCCACTCACTTTCCCAGAAGACCAGATCACTTTATCTCATCTAGTCTTGCTCTGATAAACATAGTGGAGAAAAGGTCTTCTCTTCCCCCGTGGAGGTGTGGTGAGGGTCACCTCACTCACACATGCTAAGCTAGAGATGAGTCAGGGAGGTGGGAGGAAACCAAAGTGTGTTGTTTTACAAATGGTGCTGACCACAGAGCAATATTTTTCAACTGAATATATTATATCCATATTCTTCCTAAAAGTCAATGTCAGTTCTGCTTTTTAAATGAACTCATGCTTCTATAATTGCTAGTGATAACAGCATTATCAAGTACTGTTTACTGGGTATTTTCTTCTGAGTGTTTAATATTTGCTAAAGACTTTACATACATCATGTCGTCTTATCCTCACAAAAATTCTCCAATTCACATATCAGGAAAAGAGATAAAAGGTAAAAATAACTTGCTCAATTTAACAGAGTGGCAGCCCCAAACTCAGGCTTCTCTGTCTCTAATGTTTTACACTTACTCGTACTTTATTACCAATGGCAAAGCGTCTCTCCCTTTTCTATAATGAAAAAAGTTAGTCAATTCATCTTTTTGAAATTTATTTTTATATTTAATTAAAAAAAATATCAAGGGCGCTCCTAACACATCTGCTGAAATGGAAGGACCTGGCTGAGGCCTAGGGTCCCTTTATGCTTTTCTAGGGATGAGGAAGTGTCAGCCTTCGCTCAGTTTGATGTCTCTAAGGCCCAAGGGCAGGGCCTCCTCTCTCAGAGTCCCAGGTGCTGTCCCAGAGTGCTCCTGCCTCCCTCCTGCTATTCTGTCTCTCCAAGAGAGTCCCTAGTAGACACGGTTCTTGAAGGCCTGGTGGGTGAGATTTTCTGTACATTCCTCCTGTTTGCTCACCACCCACTGCAGTACTGCATGGAATCTCTCCTGGCCAACTGGGATGCACCTAATTTCTGTTAACTTTTCATTGAGAAACACTTCAAACATACAGCACAGTATAATAAATCTCTATGCATCCATCATTCAGCTTTCAACAATGATCACGCATGGCCAGTTTTTCTTTGCCTACACTTGTTACCTCTCTTCCCCTCTCCCAGTGATTACTTTGAAGCCAATCTCAGGCATTATATCATTTTGAGTATAAATATTTTGGCATATATCACTTAGGATGATATATGGCATATATAAGGACTCTTTCTAAAATATATTTGTAATACCATTATCACACTTAACAGCTTAATGAAAGTCCTTTAACTTCATCAGATAGCTAGTGTTCTCATTTCCTTGATTGTCTCATAATTTTATTTTAGTAGTTTTTGGTTTAAATCAGGTTCCAGATAAGCATCATGTATTTGAATTTGTTATGTTTTAAGTCTTTTCCATTTATAGGCTTTCTCTACTAAAACAAAATCTCTTTTTGTTTTTCTTTGCTATCTATTTTTTGGAGAAACTGAGTTATTTGTTTTATGGAACTACCTCTCATATGTGTAGTGAAGGACCAGTTTTATTTTATTTTTAAAATTTTATCAATCACAGAGTAATACTGGGGTGATACTTAAGAATTAATTACCAGAAAAATTAAATAAAAAGATGTAGGCAATACCACTCCCGATTTCTCAATGTTAAATTTGACAGACATAAAATTACATTTCAAATAAATATCACAGAAAAAAATGAAAATAATTACATAAATTGTATGCGTTGCTCATTAAAAATATGTATGTAGGTGTTAATATAGAAAATTGAAATTACACTCACAACTTTTGTCCTTAGACATTTGTAGCCAAGCAAAATTAATGAATAAAATAACAACTTCTTATATTAAACACATATACATACTTTAAATATATAGAAACATGAAATATTATTATTAAAAGTTTTAACATAGCAAAGTACTTGCTTCTTGCTTGTAAATGAGGTTAATCTAGGTTGAATTGATGAAAACATTACTTTATAGAAAAATGGCATGTGAAATCCTTCCTGCTTTGTTTGAATGATAAGTAGAGAAAGCAGAGGTATGTTGATGGAAATGGAAGAGGAGATTCTAAAGCAATTTCAGCAAGCTGGGACACTCATTTTGATCTTTTATCCAAAATGTACTAAGTTATGCTGTGTTTTCAAAATTCATCCTCAATTCATTATCAGTAGCCAGTTCCAACACTTTATCCTTAAAGTTGTAGCTAGATTTACATGATCTTTTATCTGATCTAAAAATCTCTGCCTTTTATTGAGATATTTAAGCATTTACATTTAATATAATTATTGATACAGTTGGCTTTAAATCTGCCATTTGTTTAGTTGCTTTCAGTTGGTCTGACTTATTTTTATTAATTTTTTTCTCTTTCCTGCCTTCATTGGGGATAATTGAGCACTTTCTATGATTCTTTTTATCGACACTATTGGTGGAGGCAATATTATTAAACATCTTTTAAATGTTTGTAAAATTGGTTTTTAATTTTACAAAATTGAAAATTAAAAGCCTAGTTTTTTTTAGGCTTTATAATATACACTTTTAGCTTATTATAATCCAGCTGATATTATATTACACTACTTTTTGTATAACGTACGAACCTTACAACAGAATATTTCCAGTTTCTCCATTCCATACTTTGAGCTATTTTTGCCATGCAATTTCTTTTATGGCTAAGCCTCACAATAAATTGTTACTATTCTTGCTTTAGCCAGTCAATTAACTTTCAAAGAAATAAAAAATAAGGAAAAATAGCTTTTTTTTTTTTAGGTAGAGTCTTGCTCTTGTTGCCCAGGCTGGAGTGCAATGGCAGGATCTCAGCTCACTGCAAACTCAGCATCCCAGGTTCAAGCAATTTTCCTGCCTCAGCCTCCCAAGTAGCTGGGATTAAAGGTGCTTGCTGCCACACCTAGCTAGTTTTTCTTTTTGTATTTTTAGTAGAGACAGGGTTTTGCCATGTTGGCCAGGCTGGTATTGAACTCCTGACCTCAGGTGATCCACCTGCCTTGGCCTCTCAAAGTGCTAGGATTATAGGTGTGAGCCACCATGTTGGGCTAACATATTCTAATGAATCCATTTTTTTTTTTTTGTGAACTGATGGTTCTAGAAGCTTGGTCTGATTCATATTTAATATTTTTCTAAACCAATTAGTGGTATTGTATATTTCCATTGGGATATGATGTCTGATTGCCTCTCTTTCTGTGATTTTAATAGCTCATTGATGATGGTTGTCTAGACCCATTAGTTCATCAGGAGTTGCAAAATGATGTTGTTCTAATTTTACTATTAATTTTTTTTAGCAGCTCAAATGATTCTGTAAAATGTTACTTCCATTCAACAGCTATTGGATTGCCTTGAGGTAGAGCTTAGAAAGAAAGGCTGAGTAAATGCTTGATTCTTCTCTTTTATTTCACGTCTTTCAAAACAAGGAATTAGTGACCCAACATCCCCTGAAGATGACTGATGAGTTTTTTTTTTAAAAATTCATGTAACTGTCAACTCATAGAAATTTGTTTGATAGGTTTAAATCCATTGCAGTCATTCTTATGCTAAAATTATATCTTCTTTGGTCATTGAGAGATCCTTCAAGCTGGCTTCTGTGTCTTTTCAATCCTATTGGTGTTTGAGTGCTTTTTTATTTTCTCATACAAAATGTTACAGGTTTATCTTGTCCATTTCCTGCTCTAGACTTGGAATTAGAAACCCTGGTTTTTCAGTGTGAAATGGTATTTAGGGACCATAATCTGGGTGCTAAGGAATCTAAATAATTTTAATGACTGCATGATACTCAAATTTATATTAAATATAGTCAGTCACTTTCCAACTGATGGACAATGACTATTTTCAAGTTTTGGTCACATAACCTTTGCTGTTTTACACATAACCTTTAGCTACTGAGTGTCTGCTTTCAGGCCTGGCATTAGCTATTCAGCAAAAGGGAGAGATTGGCAAAGTAACAGGTTATGCTTGTTTTAGCATAGAGATACTAGCAAGCCTTCAGATAATGTTGTTTAATTTACAGGGCTAGATATGTGGTGGGAACTCAAACAAGAATAATTTTCATTCAATCTCCAAACAGATCTGTAAAGAGCAGATAAGCATAGATTCTTTACTATGAATCAGTTATTGGAGGTCTTATAGTAAGTTTTTCTCTTCCAGTTATAAGATAGTGTCATTTGCAGAAAGCTTAGTCTTCGGTAGCCAAATCCTAAGGCCTTTTCAGACTCCATGAATTTTCCTGATCTTAGGAAGCTAGCTAGAATCTGTTACTGACTTAAGTGAACATTGCTGCTAAGCAGACATTATTCATCAATCATGAAATCTCTATGGATGAGAAGATAACTAAAAAAAATTTCTTTGGTAAAGTTTTTCTGATCAAAGTGAAGTGCACAAACAGGACATAATACAAAACTATAAAAAGGAGGTGATATAATTAAAATTCCACAGAAGGCTATTTTATGTTTTTTTGGGGGAATGGAAGAGTGAATATAGTTGTAGGCAAAGTAGTGGTTTGATAATGAATATTCACAGGTGGCACTAG